AGCTCTCACCTATATTAGGGTCCCAAGGGGAATGTTATAGTGGGGAGGGGGCTGCTCTTCCCAGGGCCCAGAGGACTGGGGGACCTGTCAGGACTGAGGAGCAGGTGGCATCCCCAGAGTGAGGAAGGAACCCAGATGTCCAGAGTTTTTCCAATGTCTGTGGGTGCCCCACCAGTGCACACCCCCTCCCATCCTCTGTCTGCTAAGGCAGACTCTGGCCCCTGCCCCCATCGGGTCCAGCAAGCGCAGTGGGGGGAGTGGCAGTGCCCTAATGCTTGCTGCTGGAGGGACAGGGTGGTGCCCTCTGGCTCTAAGCTTAGGTACTGGGGGCACTGGAGTTGGGTAGGGGATGCCCTGAGCCTAAAGGTGCATCAGGGCTGAGGAGAAGGGGTTGGTAGAGAGGAGCAGGAATCTATGGGGAATGCCACCAAAGATGCTAGTCCCAGGATGGGGAGCAAGCCCCCAGTCCTTCTTCCTGGGGACAGCAGGGAGGGAGGGGCTGCAGGCAGGAGAGCCACTGGAGGCCCACCCCACCGCCCTGCCCTCCTCACCCCTTTCCCCACAACCTGGGAGGGAGACTAAGCCCCAAACCTTCCATTAGGGCACCGCCGCTGCCAGGGAGGGGCCAGCTTACCTCTGGTGCAGGCTCCCTTGGTCCCTGCCCCGGGACCACAAGCAGCCTCTGCAATGACCCTCCAACCTGCACGGCAGGGGGACGGCACAGCTTCAGGAGCGTCCCCAGAGCCATCCACCACCGACCCTTGTCCCGGAGACCCACCCTCTCCCAGGAGGCGCAGACCCCTCGGAAGGGCGCGGCAGGGTCCCCAGAATGGGCTGCAGCTCTGCCTCTTGTCCGCTGGTCTCCTGGATGCCCGGCCGGCAGGCAGGCAGCACTCGGAAGGAAAGTTGCTCAGCTGGCCCGGCAGGTCTGCCTCAGCAGTAACAGGACACAGGAGGCAGCGCAGGCGTGTTAACCCCTTCCTGCTGGCCAGGCGGGCGGCACCTTCCGAGGTGGGTGGGAGGCTTGCCGCTGCCAATGCCCGAGGGGAGGTGCTGCTTGAGAGCCTGTGCTGGTGGCCCACTCCCACCCGGCAGTGAGTTAACCCTTCCCCTGCCTCCTCAACGGAAGGGAGACGGCCAGGGGGCTCCAACCCGCCGCCCCCCTCCCACTCCCCAGAAGGACCTTTCCCTGGGGCCTGCTGTGGGCTCCCAGCTGGCCCTCTTGGCCATCCTGACAGGGGCATCAGGACTCCAGGCACAGCCCCGACAACAGGAAGTGCTCTGCTCTCTCTAAACCTCCTCCTCTGCCTCAACGGAAGGAGGCTCGAGGCCCATGAGGTCCTTCCTTTGCAGAAGCATCGAATGCAAAACCACGGGGTGGGCGACCCCCTCAGCCTCCCGCTCCCACCTCTGCTCCATCGGCACTTCAGGCAACAAGCCCACCATTAGCAACGCTGTTTGTCAGACTCGGGGAGCCTGGGGGCCAGAGAACAAGGATGGTACAGAGTCTGCGCTAACAGCACCTTTCTTCCTGAGAGCCATCTCTTGCCCACTTCACATTCTCCCAGCGAGGGGCGGAGGGTAAAGTCCAGAGGCCGGTTTTAAGGCAGAAAAGTGGCGCAAGGAGGCCAGAGGCTCTACCAGGGGTGGGGTGCTCAACCTTCCTAATGCCGCGATCCTTTAGTACAGTTCCTTCTGTTGTGGTGACCCCCAACCATAACATTATTTTCGTTGCTACTTCATCACTGTAATTTTGCTCCTGTTATGAATCGTCATGTAAATATCTGATCTGCAGGATGTATTTTCAGGGGTCGCGACCCACAGGTTGAGAACCGCTGCAAGTCCATCTCTGAAATCCCTCCAAAGGAGCTGGGAACCCTGTTGGTAAAATGTACACCCCATCTGTGGCTACAGGGGGTAGATTTGAAAAGCCACCGTGACGTGGGCTCCTCTTTCAGAATGCGTGGTCCTGGTGGTTCCTGCCTTGATATGACTGCACCTTCCTGGCGCAAAGGCCAGAGGCTCTAACAGGGGTGCTCAACCTTCCTAATGCCGCGATCCTTTAGTACAGTTCCTTCTGTTGTGGTGACCCCCAACCATAACATTATTTTCGTTGCTACTTCATCACTGTAATTTTGCTCCTGTTATGAATCGTCATGTAAATATCTGATCTGCAGGATGTATTTTCAGGGGTCGCGACCCACAGGTTGAGAACCGCTGAGTCTAGCAGGCACCAGCTTTCCTTCCGGTAGGACAGCGGTTCTCAACCTGTGGGTCCACATATATAATTACATACTGTTTTTGTGATGAATCACTATACTTTAATTATGTTCAATTTGTAACAATGAAATCGGGGGTCACCACAACATGAGGACCTGTATGAAAGGGTCGCGGCATTAGGAAGGTTGAGAACCACTGCTGTAGGATCCCACGCTGAAATCCAGAACGGTAACCTCTGGCTGAGGACAAAAGGATCCAGCCTCTAGGGGTGAGGAGGATGGCGAGCGCGCCCTCAGACACTGGGACGGGGCCCTCGGCCCCAGCTGCAGTGGGAGGGTCTCAGGGAGCCAGGTCCCAGGGCGTCTAGTTCCCTAGCCTCATACATTGTCACGCTTGGTGATGACACTTGGGGAAGACCCGGCTCCAGGAACCACTACCCCAAACGTGTGGGGCAAGGAAGGCCAGGAGCAGGAACTAGGAGGCGTGATGCTATCTGTCCTCCCATCCGCTCCATTCCTTCTCCTGCTACCAACTTTCTCTGAGGTTCATCATCCCACATATCACCTCCCCAGGTGCGTTCCTCTCTCTGCCTGTTGGGTGACCCCAGGAACTGAGACAGGGTGGGGTGGGGGAGGCCTGATGGCAGGTGGGACCACCTGGGAGGACCTGGGCCATGAGCTGCTTTCATCAAGGAGGCGGCATTCACGACATGAAGCCTGAGGGAAGTGGTAGGAACTTAAAGGCTCTTTATTGATTTGTTTGTTAACCAGGTGCCCAGAAGGCTGCTTGCTCACCTGAGTCAAGTGCAAGGACGCAAAGGCTGCTCAACGTCCCGCTGGGGGTTGAGCTCATCAGCCAGGACCATTAGGTCCGTCACCATGGTGTCCAGCAGCCCGTAGACCTGGAAGAACCGGACACACGTCACTGGCTACGGCTTGCTCTGTGGAAAACACCTCCACGAGGCAGCACCCACTGTGCTACGAGGGTGGGCGTGCTCACTCCACACTGAGAACAGCTCGAGAGGGGACAAGACCCGTGTCGTGAGAATTTCTGTAGAACTTTGGTTTTTGCAAGGAGTTGCATTTTTCAAACCAGTCTGGGCCCTGGGACGAATGGGGACACTGGGGCCCGGGATGGTGAAAGGGGCAATTCTGGGGTCCGGGGAGCAGTGCCCATTTACTCCCTTGGGGTGGCCCAATCCTACTCTGGCCTCACAGGCGCCAACTTTCCTTCCTGTAAGATCACAGACCCACATACTGAAACGTTTCCAAAACTGCTCCCTACGTGGGGCTGGACCACACACGCCTCAGCAAGTCGATTCTGAATTTCAGAAAGCTGAGAAAGGCCACCGTGCGGGGCCTCAGAGACCTACGATAACTTGCCTCCATCAGCCTTCAGACATCTCAGGGATGTCACCAGCAGCATAGGGGGCTTCTGATCAAATGAGATCCAGGGTGTCCCCACAGTGCAGACATAATCCCAGCCACCCAGCTGTCCACGCCAGAGGAGGACAAAGCCTTGCCGTGAGACGGACAGACTGAATGTCGCTTTATAGACCGCCCCCCTCCCCACCCCCGAAACTAACAGCAACTGTAACTGCAAACCCAACGCAACACATGATGAGTTTCTCAGGGCCGACTGCTGAAGAGGGCATTGCCATGGAGTCTCTCTGGGGTTTCAAAACCCTTATGCTTGCTAGAAATCCACTCAGCGTGGTGTTTCCCCCAAGGAACAGGTGGCCAAGATGCTCTCTGACACACGGAGTCTGTTTCCCCAAAGTCAGACCATGTCACTCTTCTATTCAAATCCCTGCATGGTTTCTCGTTTCACTCAGAAAAACCCTGAGTCCTCACATAGCCTACAAAGCCCCACATGACCTTCCCCCTCTTGGTGGCCCCTCTGCCCCCTATCCTCCTGGCTCCTCCCTCCCCTGGCATTAGTTGCTTCCTCTCCCTAGGGCACTGCTCCACAGGGGTCCACAGGGCCTCCCCCACCTTCCTTCAAGTCTGTTTGATGTCACCTTTTCGATGAGCCCCCCCC